ACTCTCTCTCTCTCTCTCTCTCTCTCTCTCTCTCTCTCTCTCTCTCTCTCTCTCTCTTCCCCCTTCCCCTCCCATCCTCCCTCACCTTGTTCTTGATTTTCCTGCGGATTTTCTTCAGATTCTTTTCTTCCTGCTTGGTGAGTGGCAGTTTGGATGGGATGGGGTAACCTTCAGAGATGAGCGTCCTCTTCTCTTCCTCCGACAAGATCAGAACACCGGACTGGGAGATCTGTGCAACGACAAAGAGAATGACGATGATAATCTCAAAGGCAATGACTTTTGACAATAAAAATGACAATTTTTTATATAGTTTTAGTAGAGGTTTTACGGTGTTTGCAACATAATAAGGTCATATGAGCGCCAGAAGATTAGAGGTGTTACAAGAGAGTAATAAACAAAAAAGAAGGAGGGGAGAAAAAGACGATAGACTTTTGATAGGAAAGAAGAAGCAAACCACACCAGAGCACCCGTCAAACACCCACATGACAATGATCATCTAAATGGCAATGACTTTTGACAGTAATAATGACAATAATAATGACAATGATAATCTCAATGACAATGACTAGGACAATAACAAAAACAATAATAATGCCAATGATAGTGACATCTGAGAGATCTGTACAATGACAAAGACTATGACAATAATAATGACAATGATTATCTCAATGATCAAATTCTCTATTGCCAAATGTCAATAAAAATGTAACAGCGCGGGAAATATAGAAATCTTAGCTTGACACTTCACAAATTGTACACCCCTTTTTTTTTCTCCATCTCCATCCCCTTTCCTCATATTGTGCAAATTGCACGATTCAACATCTTGTGCCCCTTCGATAAAAATCTCTCTCTCTCTCTCTCCCCCCTCTCTCTCTCACTCTCTCTCTCTCCCCTCTCACTCTCTACCTCTTCATTCTCACTCTCTACCTCTTTACTCTCACTCTCTACCTCTTTACTCTCACTTTCTACCTCCTTTCTCTCTCTCACTCACTCTTCCCTCTCTCTCACTCCCTCTTCCCTCTCACTCTCTACATCTTTACTCTCTCTCTCTACCTCCTCTCTCATTCTCTCTCTCCCTATCTATCCCTCTCTCTCTC